GTATATCTATCACTCATTCACCTTCTCCCTTGAACCTCCCTAGAATTCTCTGTATGTCTCTTACGGGTGTTATCACATAGTGCCTTGTATTTTGCTATTAGTATACATGTACATTTCCCCTATTACACTGAAATCTCTTTGTAAGTGGGGAACAGATCTTATTTAGCTTCTTGTCTGACTCATTGATTCATGTAGAACCTTGCATACAGGGCCTAGTACAGAGCACTGAACATCTTGTAATGATTAGATGTTCAACACATAATTAGTTGAATGACTAACTAAATAAATTTTATTCTGTCATTTGTTCTTTAATTCATTCATTCATCTTTTGAAGTAACATCCTAAAAGTAGGTTCAGCTCACATACAAAATATCCCATAGTGTTCTTTGTATGGACCATTGCTCTCACCCAGAGTATTTCTTAGCTTTTTTTTTTATATTAAAGGGTGAAATGAAAGGTTAAGAGTTAGAAGTGCATTTGGTCCTTTCCTGACCCTCTCCTGACTTTTGTGTGACTTCAAGCATGTCACTTGAACCTCTCAGTGACCTCAGCTGTGAAACGGGGCTGCCTGGTGTCACAAAGGGATTGCGAAGAGCAGCAAATCACAGTCCTTGTCTAAACAGAATCACCTGCAGGGCTCTGATGCCTGCATAGAATGATGAGGGAAATTTAATTTTCCAAGTCAAATGGTCATTTGGACCCATAGTTTGAATGTCTGTGGGAGCAATTAGATGAGAGTCCTTGAAAATCTGTTACTTTTCTCTTCCTACTCAAAATATTTCTAATTTTTGTACTTGTAAATGTTCTTACTTTCTAGACTTTTTTGTCTAAAGAATATTGCAATGTCTAAGCATATTAGTGTTTACCTCTTTAGACTTCAAAGGTGGGAAAATATTTCAGATATTATAAAAAGAAAGTTGAATTTTGGGAAGAATAGAAGTATCTTGAATTTTTATTTTATATCACTGAGTTTAGAAAAAAATTTGCCTCAAAATGATACTAATGCTAGTTCAAAGATAACTATTCGATGACTGTATATGAATATGTGTTTCTAACTAGCTTTTGGTGGGCGGCGGGGGAGGAATGTAGTTAAGCAAGACGATTGCAAACAAGTAGAGCAGAAAACAAATAAAAATACTGTTAGCCATCTTGCAAACAGAACCTTTTTATACCGTTAATGTAGTCTATAAAATCTTTGAAAGAGTAGAGCTTAATAGATTCCCCAGTACTGTAAATATTCTAATTGGGAAAAATCCATGTTCCAGGAAATTTAGCCTTGTATGTAGCATGTGCTGATTATCATTCTTTGACTGCTTTGGGTTTCTGCTGCTTTTAAACTAGCATTTAAATGGACCATTTGATTAATCATTTGTATACTGACTGTAATCCTCCCAAATTTCCTTTCTGAGTTGTACATACTGTAAAAGACAATTATGTCGCCACAGATTAAATAAGCGAATTAAAACAGAATAGCGGCTTAATTTGACCTGTGATTTTGCTCTCCTTCCCTTTAGTGGAGCGTGTGCCACTCCAGCAAATAAATGAAGTCATCCATGACAGCTTGTGATGAATTGCCGTATTTATACTGTATATTTTAATAGCCTCACACTAATTTAAATTGAGCACAGAGTAAATTATAATTCAGTCACTTGACTGCTTATATTTAACTTGACAACTCATCCTTATTTGTCCTGGAGGTGTAGTGGAGAGCAGCGGAAATGCACTCAGGTATTTCAGTTTCTCACTTAACCCTTTCTCCAGGAAGTGCTTCATGTTGAAATTCTTTCCAGTTTGAAAAATTTAGCTCTTCCTAAGGAGAAAAAAAATAATCATGAAGACTTAAGGAATTCATGCTTTCCTTGTTCTTCAGAAAAAAATATTAGTATTCGCCATGCTTTTTTTCCAATTTTTCCATTTTAGGGTAGATTTTACTTGCCCTCTCAAGTTCCCAGAAATTACATTTTCATTTTTTTTACCATTATGGAATCTCCACTATTCTGGACTATAGCAAATTCCAAGAATGATCAAGACCTATTAGGGTGCAGTGGATTGGTCCCACAAATACGGTGTTACTTGCTACATGTTAGGCCAGTGTGGCAATTTTATTTATTTTGGTGTTTATGTCTTTGGTTTTAAATTCAGTTATAGAAATCAGGCAATTCATTTCCTTCCTGTCTAGAAATAGCTTGTTATTTGTAGGATTATGTTTGTAAGGAGTACTTTAATTAAGTCCCACATCACTTAATGGGCACCACTTGAGTAAGACCCTGGGCTGGGTGCTGGATATGGGGGGAGGGGACCAGAGAAAAATGCACAAGACAGTCGTTGCCGTTGCCGTTGCCGTTCAGGGGCTTACAACCACTCTGTACTCTCTAGGCTTCTGTTTTTAGGAGATGAGGTATTAATGCTAAAGGCAGCTTGTGATAAGGAAAAAGATAAAGGATCTGATGGAGGGCTTTGGGGCTGGCTTTGTGGAGGTGGTGGTGGCATTCAAGCTGTATCTAAAGGATAGGAAAGGTTTTATGGCCAGTGACTATGGAATGGAGCAAGGAAGCACACCTCAAGTGGAGGGAACAGCTTGGGGGAAAGCACAGGATATGTGTGTGGACCGGTAGAAATCATCTGGTTTTACACGTAGATTGGGTTTGTGGTAAGGAGTAGTGGGAGAAGGAGCTAGAATAACGAGTTGGAGGTAGACTGTGGAAGAATTCCTTGACTATCATGCTAGAATTTTAACTTTATTTGAGGCCATAAGAGCCCAGTTAAGGTTCTCTGTGAAGAGAATATGTTCATAGCTGGTAGTTTTGGGTTAATAATAAGGTTTTGGTTAGCCTTGTGGCATCATGTTGTTTCTTGATTGGGGGCCTGGAGGTGCAGTATATCTTAGTAGTCATACTAAACACCGAATAAGTGACATTTTTGAAACATTAAATAAGGGATTCTCAACCTTACTAGGGGTTACAAATTATCTGGGAAATTTTTTAAAAATGCAGAGATGTGAGCCCAACCCTAGAGATTCTGATTCCCTTATTCTGGAGTAAGCCCTGTGCATCAGGATTTGTTAGAAGTGTCCTTATATATTTATATAAACACCTAGATATATAGGTAATTATAATGTGAGGCCAAGGTTGAGAACCACTGCTTTAAGGTAAATAATACCTTACTCCTTTTAGCAGAGTTTTTCAGGTTGAAAGAGTCCCTGTACTTGACATAGTAGGATGAATAGCTCTAATATTTTATGGCATAGAATTCAAACAACACTAGATGAATTAATTTTGTTGCTAAATTTTATACAGGAACAAAAATGTAAGTGAATATTGTGGCAAATGACTATTGATTGGGAGAAATGTTTAAATGCTTCTTGGTAGTTTTGCATTACACTTACAGTCTAGTTTTAGTGAGAGCTTTTATAAATAACCCTAAAGCAAACTCTTGATAGAAACTGCTATGCCTTTTTGTACTCATTTTACCCTCCCCCCAACGGATGTCAGGACTATAAAATCTGTGTTTTAGAGATTATCCTTTTATTTCCTTGCTCTAACAGCAGTTTGCAATTCAAAATTTATGTTTTTTCCTCCAGTATTGATTATATATATGTGTGTGTGTGTGTGTGTGTGTGTATACACACACACACACACACACATATATTCTGCCATTGTAATACAAAATGTGGTTCAGTGTTGGATGGTGTTTAATTAGACTATCATTGGTAATCCTGAATGTTAAGTTTTTATCTAGAAATGTCTAGAGTCAGAAACTCTGCCACAAATCTTAGAAATTATCTTCCAGTTATTTTATTATCATCACTGTCTGTTTTAAGTAAAAAACAATTTCCCTTGAATTGGCTTCACAGGAAATGCTAAGTAAAATTTGAATGGTTGATGGTCTTCTTTCTTAAAAAAATAAGTGTTTGAAATGAACTAGAATTTGTTCTAGGTAAGTTTATAAATATACTATTGTACGTTTCTATGTTATGAATTTGACTCAGTGGTTGATATTTTAAGGAAAACCATAAAGCCTCAGGGCATACTGGAAAGTGCATGGTCCTTGGAATCAGGGAGGGGCCCTGACATTGCTGGGCCTCATGACTCCTCAGAACCTTGGTTTCTTCCTCTAAAAGAAGGGAATTAGGGACTTCCCTGGTGGCTCAGTGGTTAAGAATCCACCTGCCAATGCAGGGGACATGGTTTCGAGCCCTGGTCCGGGAAGATCCCACATGCCCATGTGCCACAACTACTGAGCCCACATGCTGCAACTGCTGAAGCCTGCTTGCCTAGAGCCCGTGCTCCGCAACAAGAGAAACCACCGCAATGAGAAGCGCATGCACTGCAATGAAGAGTAGCCCCCGCTCACCACAACTAGAGAGAGCCCGCGCACAGCAACGAAGACCCAACGCAGCCAAAATTAATTAATTTTTTAAAAAGAAGGGAATTAGGTGAAATCATTTCTGAGGTTCCTTCAAGCTCCAATATTTTATAACAGTTTTGGCAAAGAAAGATTACCCACCTGGAAGAATATAAAAACCTGACATATTTTTAAAACTCCTTATTTCTCTCATAACTAAAAATCTACTTAAAATGTTATTTTTACTCATTATTCTCTCTGCTTTTGCCCAGTGTCTGAATTACAAGACAATTATTTTTTTAATGGTTTCAAGGTCATTACGATCTTCCTCTTCTCAAAATAACCAATGTGACCAAAATAGGGTGTATAAATTAAGGGTGTTATAACTTAACTGACTTTTAAAGCTGTTAATACTGACCTTTGAGACCTGGCTTTTTCTTTGATCCCATCAATCACTTGTATACCACCTCCCCCAATACAAAGTGTTAGACAGATGTGGACACAGTTTGTATTACTGGAGGTTGTGGTGGGGAGGAGAGAGGTGGAATGAATAGAGGAAACACCATATTTTTTGTTTTTATATTTCATAATGAATATGACTATATTTAATTTAAAGGTGAATAAATGTGTAAATGTTGATTCCTTTATATATTTAGGTCATACTACTAGATATTACACTGGAACTTCAGAAGCAAATTATGTCTGAATTGGAAATTCTTTATAAGGTAATTTTTTTCTTGGTCATTTTTCCTTATAAAGTATGCCTGTGGTATTGGCTTGCAGGCTATTAACTACTTTTGTCTTATTTTTGTTACAGTGTGATTCATCATATATCATAGGGTTTTATGGTGCATTTTTTGTGGAAAACAGAATTTCAATATGTACAGAATTCATGGATGGTGAGTCTTCCCTTTTATAATACTTTAAAAGTGATTTTGGGAGTAGAGTGCTTTAAAACCTGGTTTTGATATAGGTATCAAGTAAAATTAAAAGTAATGAAAATATACTAATAATTACCTCCTTTATGCTCTAAAACATCTTAGTGTTAAGGGTTCCTGTTGTTAAATATTTATAGCCGAGCCATAATTTCAAGAATGTAATTTCATTTACTTTTACTGAAAATTTAAATAGATTAAATACTAGTCTAATCGGTGGTGTGATACTTGATTCTTCCATACAATCTGTCTTCACTTGCAAAACAATTGCTCTGTTCTTTTAATGTTTCAATAGCCAAAACAGATTTTCTTTTAAAGAAATCTGTTAATGCAATGTCCTGTGTCTTAGAAAGAAATCGGATCTTAATTGCAAGATAAGAAATTGTTTTCCAACACAGCTGTTTAGCCAAGATTTGTTTAGTTTTCTTTGGACTCTAGCCCTTTCCTTCCTTCCTTTATTTTTATTCATTTCTATTTTGATAAATCTTTTTTGTTCTGAATATTTTGGCAAAATGCAAATTTCTTGGTACCCTATCAGTAAAATGATGTCATCATTGTTATTGTTTACCTATTTGAAATCAAAGCAGTCTTTAAATTTCACATATTCAATTTTTTAATGTCTAGCTCATTAAAACTCAACATTTGGGAGTTCCCTAGTGGTTCAGTGGTTAGGACTCAGTGCTTTCATTGCCGTGGCCCGGGTTCAATCCCTGGTTGGGGAACTAAGATCCTGCAAGCCGAGCGGTACGGCCAAAAAAAAAACCCTCAACATTTAAAAAATATACTTAGTTCATTTGGGGGATTCTCAGTATATTAATAATACAATTAGTTCATTCCCCACAAAACTTTGTTTTTTTTTTGGCTGTGCGTGGGCTGTCTCTAGTTGCGGTGAGCAGGGGCTACTCTTCATTGCAGTGCGTGGGCTTCTCATTGCAGTGGCTTCTCTTGTTGCGGAGCACGGGCTCTAGGCTCGTGGGCTTCAGTAGTTGTGGCACACGGGCTTAGTTGCTCCGCAGAATGTGGGATCTTCCCGGACCAGGGCTCGAACCCGTGTCCTCTGCATTGGCAGGTGGATTCTTAACCACTGCACCACCAGGGAAGCCCCCCACAAGACTTTTTAATGAGCCATCATTGACACCTTGTTACTATAATAATGTGTTCTAAATTAGTTATAGTAGATGTCAAGAATTAAAAGTCTTAAAAACATATGGGAAGTATGACAGTTAGTATTCAAGGAGACTGACTAGAAAAAATGGTTCATAGAGCCAGTACATGTCATTACTTTATGACTTTTCATCATCCTTTTTTGAATCCTCAATTTTTGTTATATTAAAAAATGTATTTATTAAGATGGTATGTTCAAATACCATAAAATTCGTCCTTCTAGTGTGTACAGTTCAGTGGTTTTTAGTATATTCACAAGGTTGTGTAACCTTCACCACTAATTCCAAAACATTTTTATCACCCTGGAAACGAATTCCCTACCCATTAGTAGTAACTCCCTATACCCTCTTCCCTCTAGTCCCTGGCAACCATTAATCTACTTTCTGTCTCTATGGATTTCCCTATTTTGGACATTTCAGATTAAGTGGAATCATACAGTATGTGGCCTTTGTGTTTGGCTTCTTTCACTTAGCATAATGTTCTCGAGGTTCACGCAGGTTGTAAAATTTATCAGTACTTCATTACTTTTCATGACTGCATAATAGTCCATCATATAGATCACCACATTTTCTTTACTCATTCATCACTGATGGGCATTTGTGATGTTTCCATTTTTTGGCTGTTGTGAATGATGCTGCTATGTACTTTTGTGTACAAATTTTTTGTGGACATATGTTTTCACTTCTCTTGAGTATGTCAGTAGGAGTAGAATTGCTGGGTCATATGGTAGCTCTATGTTTAACACTGCCAAACTGTTCCATTCCATTTTATACCAGTTTGCATTCAGTTTGCTAAACTTGTTCCTTAAACTCTAATAGGTTTTTATAGATTCCTTAGGGTTTTCCATATAGAAGATCATGTCATTTGAAAATAGAGGTAGTGTTACATCTTCTTTTCCATTTTGTATGTCTTTTTTTCTGTTTCTTGCTAAACTACCCTGGCTAAAACTTTCAGGACAGTGGTTTTTTGTTTTTTTTTTAATTTTTGAAAGAAATATTTATTTATTTTTTGGCTGCATTGGGTCTTAGTTGCAGCACCCAGGATCCTTCGTCACAGCACGTGGGCTCTTTGTTGCAGTGCACAGGCTTCTCTCTAGTTGTGGCACACAGGGTCATTAGTTGCAGCACAAGGGCTCTCTAGTCGTGGCACGCAGGCTTAATTGCCCCACGGCATGTGAGATCTTAGTTCCCTGACCAGGGATTGCACCCGTGTCCCCTGCATTGCAAGACGGATTCTTAACCACTGGACCACCAGGGAAGTCCCTCAGTACAGTGTTGAATAGAACTAGTGAGAGCAGACATCCTTCTTTTGCTCCTTAGAAGGGAAGCTTTCAGTCTTTCACCATTAAGTATGATGTTAGCTGTGGGGTTTTGGTAGATGTCATTTATCAAGTTTGTTGAGTATTTTTATCATAAATTGGCATTAGATTTTGTCAAGTGCTTTTTTTGTCTATTAAAATGATCATGTGTTTTTTGGTCCTTTATTCCATAGTTACAGTGTATTATATTAATAGATTTTTGCATATTGAATCAGTCCTGTATAATCCTTTTTATATGTTGCTGGATTCAATTTGTTAGTATTTTGTTGAGGATTTTTACATCCATATTCTTAAGTGATATTGGTTTGTAGTTTTCTTTTCTTGTAATGTCATTGTGTGAGTTTGATATCAGGATAATTCTGTCCTCAAAGAATGAGTTGGACAGTGTTCCCTCCTATTCTGTTTTTTGGAAGAGTTTGTGAAAGATTGATGTTAATTCTTCTTAAAACGTTTGGTATAATTCACCGGTGAAGCCATCTGGTCCTGGGGTTTTCTTTGTGAGTAGTTTTTGTGGTCAGGTGGCATTTGTTGTCTCTCATTAGGAGAAGTCCAAGCACTGCTGCCCACTGCATCTTGGTATTGGAGTTGCCAAGAAAAACAGAATACAATCAAGCACTGGATTGAACAATGCTTCACTCACATAAAAAAAAAAAGAGAGCAAGATCAGCTTTAGTAGTGGGTGTCAGTTCCCAATGGCCAACAGCAGGTCCCTCCTGGCAGTCTGTGCAGGGCAGTTGGCCTGCACATACCCATCTGTGTTGCAGCAAAAGTACCCCCCACTCTGCCCTACTACCCTGGAGTCAGAAATACTGAAAGCTGGAGGTATGCCTAAGGTCCATTGATGCACATGCTTAATCAGGACAAAGGAGTACACACTGAGCCTAAAACAGGGAAAGATATTCCAAAGCAAGGAGATAAACCCAGCACAGGTTATGTGGCCTCTTTATCTCTTGGTAAGCAAGTGTTCCAGCCCCAAGGCCCATTCTTATGTGGCCAAGTAGGATTAGTAAGACAGTGTGCATAAGACTGTCTTTCCCAAAAGTTTTTCAAAAACTGTGGTATAATATATAATTTACCATATTAGCCATTTTTAAGTGTGTAATTCAGCAGCATTAGTTCATTCACATTACCATGCAACCACCACCGTCCATCTCCAGAACTCTTTTCAGCTTGCAAAACTGAAACCCCATACCCATTAAGCCATAACTCTCCTTTGCCTCCTACTCCCAGCCCCTGGTAGCGAATATTCTACTTTCTGTCTGTATGAGTTGGGCTACTCTGGATACCTCAGCTAAGTGAACTTGCACAGTATTTGTCTTTTTTGGGACTGGCTTGTTTCGCTTTTCATAATGTCCTCAAGATTTACCAATGTTGTAGCATATGTCAGAATTTACTTTCTGTTTAAGACAATAATATTGTGAGTGGTTTTTTAAATCACCAACCAGTATCTTTATTAGTTATAGTTATAGGCTTATTCAGAATTTCTGTTTCTTCTTGAGTCAGTTTTGGTACTTTGTGGCTTTCTAGAAGTTTGTTCATTTCATCTAGATTATCTAATTTGTTGGTAAACAATTATTCCTAGTATTCCTTTGTAATCATTTTTATTTCGGTAAAGTCAGTGTAATGTTCTCTCTTTCATTCCAGATTTTATTAATTTGAGTCTTATCCCTTTTTCTCTTGGTCAGGGTAGCTAAAAGTTGGTCAGTTTCTTTGTCTTTTTCAAAAACCAACTCTTGATTTCTTTGATGTTTCTCTGTTGTTTTTCTATTGTGTTAGATCTCTGGTCTAATACTTATTAATTTCTACTAGCTCTGTTTTTAGTTTGCTCCTCTTTTTCTGTATTTTTAAGCTGTGAAGTTAGGATATTGATTTGAGATCTTTCTTATTTAATGTAGACGTTTGCAGCTATACATGTCCCTCTAAGCACCTCTTTAGCTGCACTCTAGAAGTTTTGATATGTTGTTTTTTTCATTTTCATTTATCTCGAAGTGTTTTCTAATTCCCCACAAAGATAATCCCTGTGATTTCTCTTTTGACCCATTTTTATTTAGGAATGTGTCATTTTCCACATTGAATTTGTCCTTCTGTTGCTGATTTCTAATATTCCTTAGAGGTCAGAGAACATGCTTTGTATGATTTCAGTCTTTTTAAATTTATTGAGATTTGTTTTATGCCCTAAAATATTGTCTGTCCTGGAGAATGTTCCATGTGCACCTGAGAAAAATGTATTCTGCTATTGTTGGGTGGAGTGTTCTTGAGATGTCTGTCAGGAGTAGGTGGTTTATGGTGTTAAGTATTTTATTTCCTTGTTAATCTTTAGTGAAAATTGTTCTATCTACTGTTGAAAGTGGGTATTGAAATGGGGTATTTTTTGGTTGTCTGTTTCTCCCTTCAGTTTTGTCAGTTTATGCATCACATATTTTGGCATTCTGTTGTTAGGTGCATGTATGTTTGTAATTGTTATATCTTCTTGATGAATTGA